GAACCACTGGGTGTTCCCCGGGGGAGGGTATGCCTACTTGGAGTCACCAAAAGCTTTCAGTGAAAATAAACTGGAAGCAGAGCATAAGGCAGCGACTTCCCAACAGGTGGGGCCGCAGCGGGATCTATCAATGGGTCCATCCCACCGGTGTTTATTGAGCATCTACTATCTGCGGCCGTTGTGCTAGACTTTGATGGCAGCATGGAGAATGCCTCAGAATGGGCCACGGTTGGTGTGGAGCATGGTTAACTTTAAAGGTACTAATGGGTAATACCTGCCTTATATTTTCACACCATTTCAATATCACCCAAATAATAAATCAATACATTGGTGGCAACCCCTAAGCACCCTTGCCTGGAAATGCAACCGCCCATTGGCATGGGTTTTAGGATAAAGTGAATCCGTGGAACCTGGCAGCATTGTTCCAGAGAGTCAGAGGCAGGTTCAGCATCACATCCTTATTATTATTAGCCACCTGCTAGATGGAATGATAAAAGTCCTTACTGTTATTATTACTGTTAGTCCGTCGGAGCCGGATCTACTACTTGGTGCTGAGAGTTCCCATGTTCAACAGCTCTGCGCAGGGCCTCCCTCCATAGTCACAGCAACTCCCAGGAGCAGGCACTTTCTGCTTAGGAAGGAGGCCAAGAGTGCCCATCCCTGGCCTGTAGCTGAGTGTCAGGAGAGGCAAGGCGCTGGCAGAGCAGGGTGGGCTGGGGCGGCCCCCCCCCATGCCTCCTGACACCAGCTGCAGTGGTTGGTCCCCTAAGGCACCAGCCTCCCCTAAGTGTCTTCCAAGATGGAGCTGATAAGGGTGGAAAAACAAACCAACCCACCTTATTCTTGGGGGTTGGGGAGCGGAACTCACAGCAGGCGGTCTGGTCCACAGGCCCAGTTTGACCCTCTTGCTGGAGTTTTCTTCCTTAGCCGTGGACCCCGCACTCTCGAAGTTAATCAACATACACACTCTCCGGAGCTGCTTTGGCCCAACCTCCTGGCCAGGCAGTTGGGCAAAGGGCTTGGTTGTAAGTGGTGCTGGGGCCCCAGCTCCTGGGACGCCCCCCTGTGGTCTGGTTTAAGGAAAACATCCTTCATGGGAGTAAATCCAGATCCCAGAGCCCTTCCTAGAGGCCAGCCTTGCCAGAGACGCAGCTGGGCGCCCGTGGGATCTCATATAGGTGCAGACCAACTCACAATAACATGTAACAAAGGAGGCATTTAAATTCAGTTAGGGGCACACAGCTTCAAATTAGATTATGGATTCGGAAGCAGCCTAGGAGCTATAAAGAGATCATATAAGGCATCATCACCATCATCATCATCATCCTAACTTGTGTGAAATTGCACAAGCGGCTACCTCTGCAGGGCTAGTTAAGGGGCCAGGGGCTGGAGGGCCTGGAATGAGTCGCTTTCTGGGAAGGGAAACAGATGAAAGGGTTAAACTTCCCAGCAAACCAACTGATGGGAAGAGCTGTGTCCTGCCCGCACCCAAGCCAGCGCTGAGGCTCTGAAATACAAATGTAAGGAATTGGCTGCCCACTAAGTCATTTCTTGTCTTTTTAATGGGAACCCTCAGTTCCAGGGGGCCAGCTCCCCTGTATTCTCACTGGCATAGAGAACAGGATCAGCAGCACAGAGGAGATTGATTCTACTCACGGTGCCAATTGCCTTTAAAAAGGCTTAACGAGAGACATGGGGAGGGTGATTAAAGCCAACCCTTCTAATCTTAGAGTTCTGCAGCGCTCTCCCTGCCTCTGCAGCTTGGGGGAGTTCATCATTGAAACCATTTCCTTTTCCTTCTCTTGAAGGTGGGTAGGCTGGCTGATTTTATTTTTTAAGGCTTAAGATCCACTTGGGACTTTTCAATTTAAGAAATGACATGTGTCAGCCCCAGATTGCAGGAATTGGCCTTCTGGAGCCAGCGGGACACAGAGCCTCGTCTCCTGGAATCTAATTTAAGGGGACCCCAGTGCATCTGGAGTGTTAGCAAGGGGCGGGTGGGGTGCGGGTGGGGGGTGGGAAGAGAGGGAGAGAGAAAGACTATGTGAGTGTTTCAGCCCCTGATTATTTGTTTAAAGAGCTGGGGTTACAGGGAAACACAAGACATCACTTTCATTCCGTTTTCCTCCCCTTTTGATCCTGTCTTGGGTGAGCTCCTGCCCTTCCCAGGGGTGATGAATTCAGGAGGGACCTGCAGAGAACAACTGGGCTTTTGAATGAATTCTTTTTAAGGCTCGCGGTCCGAAAGTCACTGTCGGCTGGAACTGGAAAGCAGACTTTTTGGTTTTTGGCTTTTTTCCCCCAGGGGTGGCCATTTCACTCAACAGTTCAGTTTTTGGAAAGGCCACTTCTTCTTGACCTTGGAGAAGCCGCACATCCCTGTGCACCTAAAAATAAATAAGTAGATAAGTAAATGAGTCAGTGCATTTCAAAGGGGCACCGAGGACCGCCCGCAGGTACTGAGTTTGGCCTGTGAGCAGCGGCCCCCGGCGCTGCCTGCTGCCTCTCTGGGCTCTGAGTTTGGAGGAGCCCCAGCTCCTCAGAGTCCATCCCAAGCTCTCCCCAGCTCACTTGGGGATTTCTGCTCTTTGTAAACACTAGGTCAGCATGAGGCGAGGACATTAGTATTTGCTGTAAATGCGTCAGAAATGGGTTCTCAACTCCCCTCACCCAACTGGAGTTTTAACTTGCTTCATATTCCACATCTGGGTGTAGAGTCCCCGAGGAAGTCATTGTGGAGACCTCTTTGGCTTAGATTTTATTGTCTTAAAAAAATCAGTCAGCAATTTCATGAAAAGATGCCTCTCCTTTTTTTGGCCAGGAGGATGGGAAGCCAGGCACAGAAATCCTTGGCCTGCTTTGGAGAGAACCTTTTTATTCCAATTTATTTTTGGGGGGAAGTGGGGGGGGTGGGCTCCTGCTGCTTTGGAGCCAGGGTGGGAGGTGGGAGGGACATTTCTCTGGAGGCCTAAATAGCCCCTGTGCCCAGTGGGGGGAGACTTGCAAATGACACTGTCACCTTTCTCAATGGACTAGGGGAGCTCCAGCTCACCAGAGGTCAAAGGTCACCAGGCAAAAAACCCAGCCCCCCTCCTCTTGTGGGAGACAAAGGAATACCAGCTGCCTGCTTTCCTTGCCTTATCCATGTTCTTTAGATGGGGACAGCCAGGGAAAGTCGCCCCATCACAGGCTTCCCCAGGAGGCTCCCCCTGATTTGTGCCAGATTAAGCATTCAGACCTGAAGTGGCATTAGGTGGGGCTCAGGGCGGGTGCGTGGCAGACACGGAGATCGCTCCCCCAGGTTCGGGGCAGGAGGTCTGAAGAAGCTATAACCCAGCTCGAGGAGGAGGCCTCTGACTCCTGTGAAAACTGGCATTTGGCCTGCTCCAGCCCGGAGCGGGCAGCACCGGACTCTCAAGCTATCTTACACTAGTCAAACCTATTTCCCAAGTCTTTTTTCGCACAAGCCATGGCGTTATTTGCAAGGTGCAAACTTGTCAGGGGAGAGTTTCGCTGTTTATTTCACCGCATGATGGATTTACAGGTGCAGACGAGCCGGCCTGCGCTACATCACGTCTGCGTCTGTGTGCCCTGGACAGCGCGGGCACTGAGCTGCCCCCAGCCTGGCTGGCGTGCGCCTCGGGGGCCTAGGCACACATCTGCTAGCAAGGGTGTGATGCTGTGGAGCCTTCCTCTCAGCTGCAAGGCATCTCAGCTTCTTAGCTCAATTGCGAATAGCCTGCCTGTGCCACCACCTTCCCACCAGGGTGGCCCATGACTCAGGAGGGGACAAGGCTGCCCCCTTGCCTGAAGGTAGGACCACCCGGTACTGTACGGTGCTGCCATTTCTGCCCCCGGGCCTCTGGGCGTCTGGAGGAAACTCCAGTCCGGGCCTGCTCAGCCCTTCCTCAGCAGCAGGCCTAAGACAGCATGTTTTACATGCATGCATGAATGTTCACAGGCAAATACACACAACGCACGTTAGCATGTGCACGGCCCATGCCCGAGGAGGACCTGGGAGAGAGAAGGTGCAGGGGCGCACTGATTTTAGATACAGGCCTCTCACGGAGGATGAGAGACCTGCTTTGCAAGTTGAAAATTAAAAGATGCTTTCCGTGTCAATGTATTTTTTTATTAAATCAGAAAAAGCAAGATACAGTAAGCATGGTAGCTACCAGTCAATCATGTGCTACTTTGAATTACATTTTAATAGACTCGTGGTCCTGTTTATTCATCTGTACAAGTATTAAAAATCTTAGGTATTGGAATCATCTGTAAATTTTTATTAACTGGGATTACGGGGTGGGTTTTATCAGAGCACATCCTGAGAACATTAGGAAATTACAGACAGACTTGAGATAAGTGTCAGACAGAACAGATGAAGCAAGCCCCTCAGCCATCTGAGAAACATTAATAATGTAAGATTGCAGAGACCAAGTCGTGGTTAGGGATAGATACAGCAGGCGGATTAAAATGGGGGCCCCGGCGCCCCCTCGTGGTGCCAAATAAACTGGCAACTTGGTCTATTTTGTTTCGGGTATTTTTTTTTTTTTCTTTTTGAAGTTGTAATCCTTGCTCCTGTCACCCAGCTTCCCAAAGCCGTTGTTTTCCCAAATCATTTCAAGCCCTCTCCAGTCAAACGCTACCCTCTCGTCAATCACTTTCAAGGGCCCTATTGGAAAACCAACTCTTATTCATCCCCCCAGCCCCTCCCCTGCATTCCATCCCAGGAAATTGGCAACCTCCCGACAGACTCCAGGCTCTTCCTCCTTGAAATGTGAATTTAAACAAAGGGATTTTCGGCTCCCTCGTCAAGCTTAGAGGATAAGCGTGTATTTACTACAAAGCTTAATTCCTCCCAGCAGGCATTTGCCTTCGGCAACTTACTTGTGACCACCATTTTTCATCACTTAACCCTAAGGCCTCCCTCCTCGCCCCCCACCCCCCAATCCCCTCACCCCCTAATCCCCCACCCCCCCAATCCCCCCACCTCCCTGCTTGGCAACCTTCGGCTCCTCTGACCTGACGAGTTAACCTGCTCAACCGTCTTTACATTATTTACCAGGTAAGACTGGACCAGAGACATAAATAATACACCTTAATATACAACAGCTCAGGCTAATTTGTAGGTGGATTTTCACGTGATAACCATCAGGACACAGAGTATGTACACAGGGGCGGGGTGCAGAGGGGAGAAGGCATCTCGGAGGCGGGAGCCCTCGTGGGGGCTGCAGTGATTTGTTTACTTGGATTTGCCAGCGGGGCCGATGGACACCGGGTCTGTTTGCACTTGGGCGTCCGACATCCGCTTTGGTCCCTGGAGGAAAATAGAAGAAGTTGTATTTTAATGAAAATCTCTAATATCAGCAGCTGTTGCCTTTTATTTAGCACTGAACTCTGTGCCTGATGTGCTAACTAGCTATACCTGGTGCATCAAATGAAGGCTCTCCGGTTGGATGTTGAGCTCCAGGACCAGTCCGGTTACTTTCTAGCTTTGTGACAAGCCAGTTATTTTGCACAAATTACTTAACTCTTTGTGCTTCAGTTCCTTCCGCTTTAACATGGGGGTGATAAAGCTGATCTCAGGGAAGGAGAGTTCTCTCTAGTCACTTTCTGACCACATCCCGATCTGCCAGCACCTTAGCATCGAGGTTATTTATCTCACACCGTCTCCTGCGCCAGCCTGGAAGCCCCCAGGACTGTGGGCTGTTCCCTTGGTGCCTAGCAAGTGCTTGGCACACAGTAGGTCTTCTTTAATACTGACTGAATGTGGCTGAATAAACTCGAGTCACGTACTATTAGTACTATTTGTTGTTATTGTTTTACTTTTTCTGTCAAGTATAATTTACTTCCAGTAGCAACATAAAATACTAGCATAGTGGGGCCTCCCTGGTGGTGCAAGGGGTTAAGCACTGCACTATGAAGCAATTTGCAGCCTCTGCAGCACAGGTTCCATCCCTGGCCAGCCAGGGAGCAACCCACATGGCGAGGCAGACCTCTCCTGTCTCGCCCACTGCTCCCTTCAGCAGTATATTTCAGTCTGCCTGCCTCTTCTGTACCCCACACTGTCTCTGGTGAAACCTCTCACCCCCCACCCTCTGGCCTGTACCCCAGCTCTTGTATGCACAAATAAATAAATCTTTAAAAAAATACTAGCATAGTGTAAAGCAGTAACGTTAATACTAGTATAGTGCATATGGCAGTAACAACATACTAGTGTGGTGCATACGGTAGTAACATAACATGCTAGCATAGTGTACATTAGTAAAATAAAATGCTAGTCTAGTGTATAGTCAGGACATCCTACCGGCCAGTAGCAACACTATACTAGTGTCTGTTCAGTAGCAGCATAAAGGGCTAGTACAGTAGTAACATACTCGTACAGTGTATGCAGTAGTAACATACTGCACTAGTATACTGTACAGTAGTGACAATACTGGCACGTATACAGTAGTAGCACAATACTAGCACCATGTGTGCAGGCCATGCCCCGCTGGCACAGGTACAGTAGCAGCGCCTCAGGGCGGCGCAGGGCAACGCTGTGCACAGCACCGCCTGCACGGGGAGGCGGGGGAGCCCATGTACCAGGGATGGGACGTGTGTCATGCACACAGTCCCGCAGAGCGAAGCCAAGGATGGGGTGCAGAGGAGTGGGGTGCACGCAGAGACACTGCAAGCACGGCAGGGGGAGCACGCGGGCTGTGTGGTGTGAGGTGTGCGCGGTGTTGGGCAGGCCTGGTGAGGTGTACCCTGCACTCATGCAGGGTGTGAGCTCCTTTGCTCAAAAGCAAAACGTCTGCGGACAGTTGGGTTGCTTTCTAGAGACTTCCTTCTGGCTCCTCAGCTCCTTGGGCACCACCTGCTTCCTGGTGGGCGCGCGCAGTGCGCTGGAAGAGTGGGAAGAAGAATCTAGCGGAGAGGACACCCCCTGGGGGGGGCAGAGATCCCTCAAGGTGCACTGGAGGCCAAGGCCAGATGGGGGTCAGTGAGGGCGGCTAGGAGCTCATTTGGGGTCTGTGGGTTCCATGGCTGGGCCGGGGTCTTGCAGCCAGCAGGGTCCTCTCGGCAGGGGTGCAGCATCTGGGAGCTATGTCCGGCTTGGACATCTTCTAGGTTTGCTTTCATGCTCAGGCAGTGGCAGGAAGGCCTCCCCCCTCCACCGCTGTTGATGGTGACCCTGGGAGGAGGTGGGGCTTGGGGACCAAGTGTCCCTGGCTTATGGGGATGTCCCTTGGTTAAAGAGATGATGTAAATAATGGAACACGGCCCCACAGAAGGGGATCTGCAGTCTACCTGTCACCTCTGCAAGCAGATCACCATCAGCTCCCCCAGGTAACACTGGAAGTGCATCAGTTGGGTGTCTATTTCTGTTCTTGAGCTTCTATAGCCATTCTCCATTTTAAAGGCAGCAAAAACAGCCTTTAAAAGTTGTAAACAAAGTTCCAATACTTCTTTAACACCTTTAGTAACTTCCCAGCTTATGCAGGATTCCATCAATACTCTGCAAATCTGTGTGTGCCGTCTCTGACCACTGCTGAGCCTCACCTACTTCCCACTCACCAGCCTCCAAAACCAGGGCTCCATCCTTTTCCCCAAGCACATTAAGCTCATCCCAACCCCAGGACCTTTGCATATGTGTCCCCCCTTCTGGACTAAAGAGTTTTGCTCTCTCCCTGTTTGGCACCAGTAATCCTTGTTGACTCATCTCAAAATATTAATGTTCTGGATCCATCAAAGGCACACACCCAGCCCTGTCTGCCCTCCTCCTGTCCAGAGCAACAATGTGGCATTATCCTGTGTATCTCCCCTCCATGACTCTCACTTATATTTCTGCTGTTTAATTTATCTGTGTTATGCTTTCCCGCTAAAAATGTGAGCTCTTGAGGTCAGAAGTCCCATTTCCTTTGTTCTCTGAATATATCCCCAGCATCTAGTTCAAGCCTTGCCTGTTTCTGTAAAGGGCCAGATGGTAAATATTTTAGGGTTTGTGAGCCATACAGTCTCTGTTGCAACTAGCCAACTCTGCCTTTCTAGTGTGAAAACCTCACAGACATTATGTAAATGAAGGTATGTGGCTGTGTTCCAATAAAACTTTATTTATAAAACAAAAGTGGTGGGCCAATTTGGCCCCCAGGTTGTAGTTGGTATGACTCATTATCTGGAATCCACAAGGCATTCTACAAATATCTGTGAAGTGAATGGATGGGTTATTGGAAATATCTAAACTCCTGGAGCCGCAGTCGGGTAGGAGAGCTGGGTTTCTGTAGGAACACATTTTGTGACGGTACTTGAAACGGCAAATCTAAAATACCTTCTACACCAGTCTGCCTAAAATTGCCGTGTCAGTAAAAATAATTCCTCTGCATCAAGACGTCATTACTTCTGCCATCCAAGAAATAGCACAATTGTTTTTTGATGCCCTAAACATCAATGCTCCTTGTCATCACCTGTTCCTGCCCTTGTGTCCTCTCCTGCAACCAGTCAAGCTTCTCTTCCTTGCTGGCTCACCAGCACACCTTTGAGTCTTCACTGCTCAAAACTCGCTCTGTCTTCAGACCTCTCCTGGCTCCCTCTCTCCATCAGTTAATTCCACCTTAGATGTCACCTCCTCTGGGAAGCCTTCCCTGATATGCCTCTCAAACCCCAGGCTGGGTCCTGGCCTCCTCCCACCCCCCCAGCTCTTCTCTCATCTCCCCTGCCTGTGGGTTCTGGGCCAGAAAGACCCCTGTGGACCTTGTAGCACAGCCTTGAGCATACGGTAGGTGCTCAAAAATAATAGTTTGACTGATGTCCAGCCAGCCTCTAGCCCTTGGCATTCGGAAGAACACCCTGGCCCAGAGCCCACGAAGAAGAGGTCAGCCATCCACCTACCAGGCCCTTGAGGAAGCCCCCAAGGGACTGCCGCTGCCTCTCGGGTCTCTTCAGGGCCTTATCCCCATTCTGCAGTGAGTTCACCTCCACCACGGCCAGCTCGCACTGGGCTGCTTCTTTGGCTTCCTGCTTGTTGTTCTTCTGCTTGTTCACCTCGGCTGCTGCCTTCTTGTCCTTGGACGAGCTCTCTTTGCCCTTCGGGGTCGCCACTGGAGGTTCTGGCTCCGGAGGGGTGGTGGCCTTCTCTGTTGAGTTTGATGTCTACAGCAAGTTCAGACAAGATGCATTTTTAGTGGCTACAAGACAACTCAATAGCAGGTGAACAAACATTTTATCACAGAGATGTTCAAACATGGGGCTGGATCCACATTTTTACGAGTCCTGGGTGAAATTAAAAACCAGAAAAAGGTCACAGTGGGTGGGTGGGGGGTACTTATTTACCTAGTAATTGATCATTATAATGGATAATTAATGCTTCCTTCTATATTAGAACCTGGGTTCCCTTTTGGGAGCCACACTTCTTTCTCGATCATTCCATGGGATTTAGATAAATTAATTCCACCCCTGGACAAGAGCATGTGATTCTGGCCTGGCCAATCAGAGCACTGCATCTGACTGGGCTGCTGTAATTGGTTCAGGATGGGCCAACATATATAAAAGTGGAGCTAATATCAGAAATTTGCTGAAACAACCCAGAAAAAGTTCTGCTCCTTTTCCGTTGGACTTGAAGTTATGAAGTTAAAAGGCTGAGGTTCTCAGAGTCCCCACCATTTCCAGGAAAAATCTACTTAAAAAGGAAAAAGCAAAGCTGAGAGATGAAAAGAGAAGGAGAAAGTTCCCACAGACTGATAGCCTGGTGTGTGCCCCTGGAGCTAGCTGTTCCTGAAGTCCATTTGTGTGCAAACCAGCATTGAGAGGGTCTCTCCTACTGTCAACCACGTTTGACACTTTGCCTGAGGATGCCTATTATTTTCTTCACGTTTATGTCTATCTGAATTTCTGATATGAAACTGTCCCTTCACTCCATGAAACAGTGGTAGAAGAAAATGATTATTTATGTTTAGTTTTAAACATACATCATTCACAATGAAGTGAAATGTTTGCTGTCCTAGTTGGCTCCCATGATTTGGAGGGACAAGTCTGTAACACCCAAAATTCTAGCAAATATGAGGTAAATTACAGAAACAAAACATCTACTGGAAAGTAGTTCTCTACCCCTCATTTACTTGAACTGAATATGGGGGCCAGACAGATAAAATAAAAATATGAAAGAGGCTAGGGGTAAGAAAAGTCACCTTGAGACTTTTTGTCCCCAGGCATGAAATAGCACTAGAACTATTTCTCTAGTGTGAGAAAAGCACCAGTTCAGGCAATGCTGGCTTTGGTGATGGGGAGACAATTTGGAAGGGTGGAAACTGTGATGAACTGAATAGCACATGCCCTGTCTAAAGGGACAAAGCTACTTAGGCTCAGCCAAGAGCTACCAGGTAGGAGTAAGCTCCAGCACTCTCAGATCTTCTAGTTCTTCACTGGACACTTCACATTGATTTTTTTTTTTAATGTAAAATATATCAATTCATAATATTGACTTCAAAAGTTTTAAAGCCCTGTTTATGGCAAACCACCAAACCCCAAGGACACTTGGGGCCATATTTGACCCATAGATGTCTATAAGCTCTGCTTCATGAAGTTTCGTGCCAGGTCCACAAATTCTATACCAAGGAGCAGTTTTGACTGAGAATGTGGCTATCGTCTGAACTCTCATTTCATTTTGGTGGGTCAAGCACAATCTTTAGAAGTAAGTGAGAAGGAGAGTTAGTGCAAAGGCCTCCATGGGGGGCAGCCATCTGGAGGCAGAACTTCCTGGAGAAGGATGTGTCAGACCCCACATGCAACCCCAGCTCCCGTCAGGTTGCCAGCGGCCAGGTGGTAGCAACTGCTGAGATACAACTGCCCCTAGAGAGGCAGCCAGAGAGGACACTCACCTGAGAATGAGCAGTCCCACCAGGGTGCTCTCAGAAAGGCCAGAAACCAGGGGACCCCTTCAAACACTCCCTATGGCTTTTTTAAAAAGATTTATTTATTCATTTATACAAGAACCGGGGTACAGGCCAGATGCGCGGGAGGGTGAGAGGATTCACCAGAGAGAAAGCAGGGAGCAGAACAGGCAGACTGATGAAATGCACTGCTGAGGGGAGCAGCAGTCGAGACAGGAGAGGTCTGCTGCTCCATGTGGGACCCTCGCCGGCCGGCCGGGATCGAACCGGCACTGCAGAGGCTGCGGACAGCTTCACAGGGCTGCGCTCAGCCACCTGCACCACTAGGGGAAGCCCCTCCCTATGGCTTTTGTGGCTCAGAAGATTCTAAGAGGCAGTGGGTGACTAAGAGCTTGGTGTGTGGAGTCCAAGGGATGGGTGAAGTGAGCTCCCCCGTGACCTTGCTCCATCACCAGAAATCCAGTGACGTCCTGGCTTCCTCACCCACACAGGAGCAACAGAGACAGCACACCCCAAGGCTTGTGAGGATGAAGGAGCTGGTTTTGGAGAGCCTGTTGGATGGCGTCCACAGAAATGCCAGCCACAAGTGGACCCATCCTCTTGGCTGGCCTGGAAGCGAGGGCACTGCAGCACATGGAGCTGACAGTTTTAAAACCAGGAAAATCCTTGGCAAACTGGGACCCGTGGTCATCTGCTTGCACGTCAGTGCTTAACCTGGACACTTTTTTAGGCGAGGCTGTGGATCTGTGCCGGGTGCGGCTCATGGAGACTTGCTGAATGCAGCCCCCGGGGGCGCCAGCCTCGTCTCCTGCTTCCCTCTGCACTCTGCTCCAGCCTCGAGGCCTCCTCTTACTCCTAGAACAAACTTATTCTCAAAAGGGAGCTTCACCCCCGATACCTCTGTGTGGCTGTGTCTCCAGGCTGCCTGTGTTTCTCTCCCATGAACGTGTAGGGGGCATCTGAACAGGAATGTTCTTTGCACTCCACAGGGTCTGATTTAAGTACAACCACAATGGAACCACCTCCTCTCCTAGCCCCGCCACACAGATGAGACAGAGGCTCGCACAGATTTGATAATTCGCCTTTAGTCACGTGGCCCAAAAATTTGGTTGAGGCAGGATTCAAACCCAGCGAGTCTGCCTCTCCTGCTCTTAACCCCTTGTCTGACAAAACTAGCAGAGGGATATTTGATGACATTTCTGTGGAGGGATATTTTTCAGGTAAAAAAAGAGCACAGGTTGTAGAGTGTTGAACATGAGTTGATTCCATTAAAAAACAAACAAGCCTATAGTTATTAAAAAAAAATGTACTATGTTTCCTGGGGAGAGAGAACAGAAACCCTGAGCCCATTCGCTATCCAAGAAATAGCTCCTACTAAGTGCCAAGTACAATGCAAGATGGGAAATCAGAAGAGGCTCCTTTTTGCCCCCACATGCCCTTGAGGGGCAGGGGACGAGAGAGAAGACGCGACTCAGAGAAATGACCCATTAGAACGAAAGTGTCATGAAGCAGAAGATGTAGCAGGATGATGGTTGGGTGTGGAAGGGCTTCTTGAGGGGTGACAGGTCAGCCAAGACCAAAGCAGAGGACTGTCCATGTGGACAAGCGGAAAGAAAGTGTATGAAAACCTTGTGAGAAAAAATAGTGCAGCCAGCGTCGTTTGTTCCTGCCGGTGTCTGCAGAGCCCAAGGCAGCGCCTGGTCTACAGTGATGCTCAACCTGCAGCCATGCAACGCCTTGGCTGTGGTTGAGAACAGCATTGAAAACGAGGCTGGAAAGAAGCGAGCATCGACCAGCTAGTCCCTCCACCAAACCACGTTTCCAGGCCACTTACTTGGTAGTTGGAGTCTTTCCCATTTATATCTTCCGTGTGGGTGAGCCCTTCATCCCCTTTCACTGACTAAAATAACAAAACAGACAATGGCCTTTCAGTGACCACAAGCACAGCGACATGGACAGCACAAGGGAACTTCTGACATGGACGAGCTCAGTCATTCGCCACTGAGATTCGGGACCAAGGCAAAGGGAGACCAGCTGGAAACACATCCCTCTGGAACAGCCCACCTCCATGCAGCCTGTAACCAGAGCTTGATGACATTCAAGCCTTGGCTTCCCCAAACAACAAGAAAAGTCCAAAACCTTGGGAGTAAGTCATTCTGGGATAAGTGATGGTGAAGCTACTGACGTTGGAACCAGGAGGTAGTAGAACACATTGAATGAAGGAATAAATGAACCATTAAACCATTGCTAGTCTTCTATTGGTCACATTTGGGGGGTGGGTGTTCCGGATTTCCTCCCCTGGTAGAGAAATAGGAGGTGCCTGATGTTCCATTTCCTATCCTTTAGTGCCCCCTGCGGTCAGTGGCATCCACGACAGGGATGGAATGCACCCGAATCAAAATTGCTGATGAGAGACAATTCATGGCCAGATTTTGAAGGCATTTGATCAAGCATCTCCGTAGAGAGTCCCTAAATCCACAGCTGAATCTGGCTGACAGCTGCATTTGCTATGTCCACTTAGCTCAAAGCAGTGACCCCCAAGCTCACTGCCTCAGCAACACCTGGGGGCCTTGTGGAATCACAGATTAAAGGGCCCCGCCCTGAGGGGGCTCATTCAATACATCTGGAACCCTTCTCAAGAATTTGCATTTCTAACATGGCAATGACAGCTGCAGAGCCTTGAGTGCAGGCTGTGGTTTCAAGGAGCAACAGGGTTGAATTCAATCCCATCCCTCCCGCTGGGCCCGGGATAGCATCCTGCAAACAGCCCTCAGGCTCTCAGGGGCATCCCTGCGACCAGAGCATCCACTTAACAAAATGAATAAAAGAAGAGTAGCTCAAAGTTTTCTAAGATTTTTCTCTGTTGTTCATTTTGAGTTGCATGAAGCTATATTTGTTCAAACGGGAATTTATACTGAGTTCAGACTAAGGGTGCTATTAAATCCATCTGAGGCCTCTTTAATACTAGTAGTTCTTAATTCTTTCTCCCTCCCTTCTTTCTTTCCTTTCTTCCTTCCTTTCTTATTCCCTCCCTCTCTTTGCAGATCCCTCTTGCAGAGACAAATTAGAATAGTTCCCATCGGATTTTGTATTCAAAGGACATAACCGCAGAAGTTCATCTCCTTCCCCAGCTGTCAGAAGCAGTAGTTACTGTTTAAAGAGATGAAAATTCTTTCAAACTATTCAGAGCTTTGAAGAGCAGCTTGAGGACTAGTAAGTCATTTCGGAGACTGTCCAGACCAGGCAGCTTTTTTCAGCAAGCCCCTGAGGGCCCTCGGCCTGCAGAGCCGAGCTGGGACCTAGTTCTGACACCCCAGCCTTGCAGATGAATAAAGTCATTTTTTGTGGTTTTCATCGTGTGCATGCTCTGAGGAGCCATCCCCACTAGCTATCACTCAGATTCAAAACACTGTGGAATGTTTGGTGTTGGGTGCATATTTCTTGGGAAGAAATCAGATGTATTTTGATAGAGAGTGAATCCAATCAAAGCTGAGATTGAACAGAGGAAGCTTTGCGACCAGATTTTAATTTAGTGTGAGTCTATCAGCAGGAGTGTTTACTGGATCAGCCTCATTTCAACAGATCCTACTAGACATTTCCAGGATAAACAAAGGCTGTGTTTTACCAAGATGTTCACTTGACGTGGAACTGGGCAATCGGGACAAAATGACACAGCCAAGGTCAACCTCATTTTAGTGACAAGACTATTCTAAAAACTTAAGTCCGAAGTGTACGTGTTCATGTGTTCATTCTCCTCTTGGCTGTAACATTGGGTAAGCCCCGCCCATAACCATGGCATCTCAGGCAAACCAGTAAGAGGATGATCTTGGAGAGGGAGTTTAGGGTTTTCTCCTTCCATTTACTCTCAAAAAAAGCAGCTCCTGCTGGAAGTCCAGGAAGCTGCAGTAACTCAGGAGGACAAGGAGGAGACGTCAAGCCCCACTGCATCCATGTGCCCTGTCTGCGCAGAAGGCCAGGGAGGGCATCTCGCAGGGTTTGTGTAGGAAAAATGTCAGGCTTTTCTGCCCTCCCGCCATCAGGATAGATGATGGATCCTCGCGGTCCTGAACGCATGCCTGATGGCAGGCACCTGGCATAGGGTGTGGGCCTAGGTAGATGGGATTCACCTGGGCTAAGATTGTGCTTTTTAAGGGCGGTGTCACGGGGACGCCAGCAGCAGCAGAAGCAGAAGCAGAGAAGGCCAGTGAGCCCAGATAGAGTGAAGACTTGCTGGGGGCTGGGAGGCCTGCCTGCCTCCCGGCCCCCCAGCACCCCTGCCTGCCATATGTCTGGTAAACCCCGATAAAAGACCTGCAAAAAACCGCTGAGGACTCTGACTCCTGCTTCACCTGGTCTGCATGTGATCAGAAAACCTGCACTGTGTCCATTCCTGCCCTTTACAGTTTGATATTGAGCAAGGCACATGATGGGCTCAGTGCCCCTTGCAGGCAGGCAGTACACACTAGCTATTATGAATATCACTGTTGGTGACGGAGGAGTGTCCACTCAGCACAGAGTCCCCGTAAGGAAGGAATGCTAGTTGCTGATAGAGCTACAAACTGCCCTCCTGGCCCCCCAAATGCTGCTTTCAGAAATTTCCCCAAAGAGCAACTCAGAATCCCTATTTTAGGACTAGAGGAAGAACTAGGGTTAGGAGATCCAGTTTCTCTCTTCTAATTACCGTCACAAAACCCTCCTCCAGATAGTAAATTTCAACAGGTTTTCTTAGATGTATTAGATTGACTGTCATCAATAAAAAAGCTCTGTGGGTTTTACTTTGCCCAGAATTAAAGCTCATGGTCTTTCTCTGAGCCTGAGAATGTTATTCCCACCAAGAGTTTCTTACAAAACTCATGGTCTAAAGAAAGAGGCACGAGGAGGATTAAATGTAATACTGGAAATGACGGTAGCTTGGAGGAGGAAAGCACTTTTCCAGCATGAGGTGTTATTAATATTGACAAATCATCAATCTATTGTCTCTTCCTACCTCCCTCCTTTAAGCTTCAGCTGTCTACCTGCTGGGTGGGCGCATGACTATTCTCCACCCACTCGCTTTGTAAAAATATACTAGGTGCGTCAAAAATCCAATTTCTTGACACACAACTGAATTAATACATATAAGAATCTTTTTCTATTTAGGGCATGACAGATGTCTTAGCTATTCCTTGCAATTATTTTGAAAATCGGTGGGACCCCAAGGATATTTGTGAAGAGGTATATTCACATGTGTCGGAGGCAATGCTAAAACTGAGATTCTATTTTCTTTTCAAATAGAATTATTTGAAAAATAATATTCCTGCTATTTTTATTTTTAAGAGAGGTTAATTTCTGGAGACAAAAAGATTTCTTTAGAAATGAACTGGGCCGTGCATTTATTTAAACGAAAAAATACTCAACCAGGAGTTACTTTGCCTTGGGATAGCAAGATGCATTACTTGAAAGAACTTTAAGGGAGTCAGGGGCTAGAAGACAGAAAATCAGTGATCTGATGAGTGGCGATACTGAATACAAAACAAGTGTGATGCCTTTGCAATTGCGTTTTCTATTCAATTATTATTTTTAAAAAACTATAGTAGTTTGCTAATAATTAAAATCTGGCTGAAATATTCACCTATCAGCTTAAAAAACCACAGTCATGATCCAGATGTTGTCTCTACTGTCAAGCATTTTAGAACAAGTTTTTTTTCCTGCATAAACCCAATAACTATAAATCAGTTTGGAAGCCAGGAAAACATTATCAAAAATGTTTCCTGAAAATGATTGCCGAAGCTGACTCCTGGGAATCTATACTATGGAGATATGAAAACATGTAGATCTGAGGCACATAGCAGGGCAGGGGGAGGGAAACAGGTCAAAATAGGGGAGGGAAGAGCACAAGGGACTGTGGTGAGAGTTCACGGGTGATGTGGCAGTGGGAGGTGTATGGGAACTACACCTGAGCGAAGAAATCAAATATTGTACAGAAATAAACAATGTCTGAAAAAATGTCAGTGCACAAGGATGTTCACGCAGGTTTATTGAAGCATCAGGGATCACATGTGTAAGACTCAAGGTGTGTGCTCAACAGATCTGGAATTTATTAGCCTTCTTCTCCATGAGGACAGGGACCACATCTGTTGATGCTTACTCCCGTAACCCTATTGTCTGGAATATTGTGGCTGCTCAATAATTACTTGTTGAGTTAGTGAATGAATAAAGTGCTAAACATTGGAAACAAACAAAATATCTATGAGTAGAGTCATGGTTAATCAGGCTATGATAAATTCAGACAATGTGACTTGATGAAGTTTTCATAAAGAATGAGGTAGTTCTATGGCAAACTCAGATACCCACAAAAATAGGATTAATGAGTGAGCTGGGCTGGGCGTGACAATAGGGAGTGGTGGGGATTGTGGTGAACTGTGTCTTTTGTGTACTTGAATTAGTTGCAGTGGTACTACATTGTTCCAATGAAAACAGAACAGCATAAAAGACAAGTATAATTAGGATATTTGGAATTTCAGGAGAAATCTCAATAATCATGGAAACTTTGGTGTTTAAACATTAAAATGAAAAAATAGTGTTCAAGCTCTCAGACATGCTTTTAACAGACAATAAATAACAAGAGCAATGGGCATTATGAGACCTAGTACTATGACTCCATAGAGGATTGTTTGGGAAAATATGTTTTCTTTTCCCACTAGCCCCATCCGATGGAGAAACAATTTCAAAGGACACTGTTTCCAATTTGTTCCTCTAATAACTCAGACTTACCCAGTTTCTACTGTTAGAACATATCCCCAAACAATATCTAGTGGATATCCCTGGAGGATAAACTTAAGTGACATAAAACTAGAATGCAAGGATTTGTTTTGGATGGATTCAGTGGGTGGTTTAAAGGTTTCCTATCCTTATTTAGCACTCTTGTATTTTCTCTTTTAAGTGGAGAAGTCTCATGTTGCTTACTTGGAAGAGAACGTCATTCTGTTTGGGTTTCTTTCTTTTTTTTTTTTAAACTCTCAACTCCATCCAGAAACAAGAAAGTTGGATCCTCCTCAATGTTATGAACTATTTGGGGATCCCATTTGTAGTTTAGATGGGTTGCCAGAAATAAGCCAAATGTTCTTTTCTTTCCTGATATGGTGTCAAAATTGGTTGCAAAAGCTCAAATCTTGATCCCCATTTTCGGTGCCAAGTTGCCAGGAATACAGATGGGTTTCCTGCTACATGGACTGCCCACGACTCCCTCTCTCCTCTTGCTCCATGAGAATCCAACAATAAAAGAAAATGGCTCCTGTCAACAATTTCTAGCAGAGTTGTTTCTAATATGCTTCAACTCCCACTGGCAAGGGTTTTGTTTGGTTTTGTTTTGTGGACCAGAAAGAATTCCTTAACAGGTTGAGCCTGTGAAATTAGAGATTGCTTTCTCAAAGGATTAAACTCCCCAATGCTCCTGAAAATAAAGGCATACTATAATGAAATTCTTGTTTTTCATTAAAAGAGAATTAAACCAATGACCTTTTACAGGAGTTTTTGTTTTTTGTCTTCTAACCAATTTGGCTTTTATTGCGTTGTATGATTTAAGTTTCTGGCTGTTTAGCTATTGAATGTACAAGACTCTTGATAGGCACCAAAAGATGCCTGCCCACACTCTCTCCCTTCGATATAACTAAAGGCATGGCAAATTCACCGACCATATTTGCATGTTCATTATTATTAGAAGATTATGTTGTCATTTCCTTATTGGAATTAATAAATCGGCCCTGTCCAAACTGTGTCATTCACACATCACCTTCAGAATTTCTCCAAAATCAATATATAACTCGGACTATGTATTACCAATCCTTTAAAAAATGCCTTATATTCTTTATGTAGTAAATGTATTTTCAAAGGAAACCGCCTATCATTACCAGCATGAGAACTGCAGTATCATTTACATAAACAGAAGGAAAACTTACAAAATAAATAAAAAGTGAAGTAAGAAGTCATAGCCACTTCTCGGTGGATGCTATTGTTTGCCCTCACTCAAGACCCAAAGTCAGCTTTCTCTATCAAAAAGGGAGTTAGCATGGGGTTAAAGAGAGGTTAAGGGACATTAGCAATCAGCTGAGATTTCCTTGTGATTGAATAAATTGAATAAATCCTCTCACTGACAATTCGTACGCATCTTTCATTCACGTTCCACACATGCAATCTACTATCGAGTCTCACAAGGGTCCTTTGTCCCTGGAAGCTGTGTTCTAGGTCTTTCCTTTTTCCTGTACAGCAGGTCCTTGAATAACATCATTTCATTAAAACATTGATGAGGAAAAGACTCCCAGCGGATGCTGCACAAAATGTCATTACTCAAGGAGCTGATTTCGTGATTCCGCACTTTGCTTATAATCACAATTTCTAAGAACCTATTGACCGTGGTAAGTGAGGACTTACTGGGCTGGAAGCAAGCGGCTTACCATTTGTCTGAAAAACGCCAGGATGGAGGTTTTCTGTGGTTTGCCTTCTTCTCTTTTGGATTTTGATTCTGCGGGCTTGGGGGGAGCATGCCCATCTTCGTTGAGATCCACCGTCTGTAAGGCTGATTCTGCTTCTTGGGACTTTACAACCTCTACAGGCGATTCACACACCTCCTGGATTATTTTGCCAGGTAATGAGACAGTAAAAAAGAAAGCATGTCCCCCGAAACATGTTTTGTAAAGTGGGATCCTAGTCGCCTTGCCCTCCACATAGTAGCTGTGGGTTGAATCTGTGACTGTTCCCCACAGCGCAACTTCAAGAAGTGTCATTCACGTCATAGATCATGTTCCCAGAGCCAATTCCTCAACCACTGCCGGACGGATGGACTTGGAAGTGGCAACATTCCTGCCCCCTGTGGGTAAAGGCTTAGCGAGGAAGTCCTTTTGGAGACCACCCTTCAGAGCCTGCTCATCCAGGCGGTAGGACCATGAATCTAAGTTACACCTGGCCAAGGCAAAAATCAGGAGCAGCCCTATCCCTATGAGGATGGCCTTAAGGAAATGTGCTAGTTACAACAGCAGGGACAGGGAAACCACCTGCGAGCCACTGAGAGAGGCTTGGATGCAGGAGGCCTGTCCACACTGTGGAGTACTACTCAGCCCTAAAGAAAGCAGTAGTAGCCATCGACAGCAGCATGGAAGGAGTCTGAAGGAATGATGTGTAGTAAAGCAGGTCAGAATGACTGAGACAAATATTGGATGAGCACATAGCAAACAACTCAACAAAGAAAAATACTTAAAAAAAAACTAGCAGACACTAACAAAGTGAGGTTTCTGAGAATAAGAGAGAGAGGGACAGGAGAAAGGCTGAAAAGCGTACAAGGGACAGTGGTAGGGAAAACACTGGACAGGTCCAACACAGCACTGGGCTTTGGGGAGGCTGGGCTCAGGTCTTTGACTCAGGCCAATCCGGAAACCAGGCAAAGACTGGAGCCAAATAAAAGTCTGGGGTCGGCAGTCTGCTGTGAATGTGGAGTTCCATAACTAGGTCAGTGTCATTCAGTTGCATTTCTGAAAAATGTAGCTTCGGCCATAAGAGCCCTGGGGTAAAGTTGAAACGCAGGCTGACGATGTGTTGATTACAAGGCAGCTTCTAGAGGGAGCCTGTCTGGGCCTAAGTTTTGACTGTTCCTTACAAAAGCTGTAGACCAAGGCAGCTGCTACTCTCTGAATCTTTGTTTTCTCATTGCTCAATGCGGATAGAGACAGCAGTTAATTATTTTGAGAATTAAATCAGGCAATGCATGTGAAGTTCTTCCAACAGTCTGACACATAATAAAAACTCAATCAATGCTAGTGGTTGTTACTTGTGTACTATGAGTACTACTTGCTCTATCTGGAATTATCTGGAATCACCCACTATGTACATGTTTATTTAGAGATGATATTAACAGCCACCTCCTTAGAGATGATATTAACACCTCTTACTATGCCCAATATTCTGCAAAGAACTTTTAATATATTACTTTGGTAAATAGTTACTAAGTTACAAAAGACAGCTCATAGTGGATAACATTATAGATAATATTATTTATCTATGAAAAAGCTGACTGATTGAATGATTGGGCCAAAATCACACCACAAGTAGCCATATCAATGAGAATGGAATTGTCTACTGGTAATTGGATATCCAATAGCTACTTAACCAATAAAAAGAAGCAATAAGAAGTTTGTAAGTAAGAGTTTTGGAGTTGGTTCAGTTGTTCTATAATGACCCTAAGAAGACAAAGGATAGAAAGAGTCTATCCTTTGGCTATGCCATTGTTGGCTTGCAGGATTTTCATTCTTTTATTGGTTACCTCATGGATATAAAGTAGCTGCCACATTTCCAGGCATCACATCCTTGGCCCAATATCCAAACAAGGAAAGATTTGTTCAAATGAAGTTCTTCATTTTGGTTCCCCTATTTCAGGGCACATTTCATTGGCCAGTGGTCATGTCCTTATCTCTAGACTAATTATTGGTGAAGGACATGGGATTACTGGTTGAGACACAGTACTCACAACCAAGTACTTTCAGCATATGACAGTTGCCAACCTTACCAAAGATAAAGGAAGAAGGATGGAAGAAAGGAAAATGGGCCTTGGGTAGTTAGTGAACAGTTTGACTCATTGACTCTGAGTTCAGAATTATTCTGTCTTTGAAGTAACAAGTTTTTGTGTTTATTTTAGGGGGAGGGAAGGGGCCTGGAGGGAATTTGACATAATGAAATGATCAGATTGTATGGCAATCACTTTGTAAATCAACTTTATCTGATTGCCAGTGGTTCTCTTGCTGGGTCTTTCCAAATGCTGAGAGGTGTCAAGTCATAAATCCTAGTGACAGTCCATTCATCAAAGGACAGCCATTTCGGTAGGCAAAAAGGTTGTGGGGGTACTTCTAAAGACTCCCATTGACTTTGATGTCAGACCAAGAAGTTGGCTTTCAGCAGCCAAGGAAAATCCACCAACACAGTGTGGAAATTCACAAGTATTGGAGCTAAGTAAGGAGCTTATTTGCATATATAAACATATGAATCTGATTTGATTGTTTTCCTATTTCCTTCCAGGTCAGGGCTTTTAACAAAGCCATTCCTTATTTAGAATACATGACTACATCTACTCATTTTGATTTTGGGTACGATGGACATAATGAAAATCAGATTTGTGCTCTATTTTAGAATTAAATCCTGCTTTCTTGATTTCAGTAGGGGATTTTATACTTTGCATGAAAATAGTGCATTTACGTATTTCAGGCAAAGGTTTCACATTTACCCGTAACTGTTGTACTTTACTTACCCTTGACATTTGTTTTATGTCTTTTTGCTAGAGCTGTGAGTTTTGGAAACGGATATGTAGCAAAAATAGATTTCATCCACTTAAACCACCTACCATATAATAATGATTAAAAAAAAAATTATTTCATACTCTTTTTTAGATTCTTTCTGAGTTGATTTTTAACATGATTATTTGACTACAAAGACTTCGTAGAGATTTTCTTTTTCTTTTTTTTTTTTTTTTTTTATAGAGGCATGTTTATTCTTTCTTTATTTGTTTTGTTTGTTTGTTCTGTTTACACATGCACTGGGTACAGTCAGAAGCGCGGGAGGGTGAGAGAATTCACCAGAGCCAGAGAGGGGAGCAGGGCAGGCAGAAGGACCGAAGTACACTGCTGAGGGGAGCAGCGGGCGGCAGGAGAGGTCTGCGCGCCATGTGGGACCCTCCTCCGGTGGCCGGGAGGCAGCCGGGGATCGAACCTGCGCCGCAGAGGCGCGGGCAGCTTCGTAACCCAGCGCTCAACCGCTGCGCCACCGGGGAGGCCCGAGATTTTATTTTTCTACTGAATAACTGTTCTCTCTCTCTAGCTTCACAGAGTGTCCATTTTTCTATGGGGGAAGGATCTTCTTTTAGCTATAAGGTCATGTAATTTGGCTGAAGCCAACTGAACAGGTCTTGTCCAACCAACAAGCTGTACCTTCTGATCATAGGAGTTCAGGGTGGCAGAATGTATGATTTTTTCTCCCCCCAATACTCACTTTGCCTTCCTGTAAAAGAATTGTATGTCATACCCACAGCTGGGTGACTTGCTGGAGAATGTAGTGTGAGGATACATTATTAAACCACAACCCAGAGGAAGCTTGATACCACTTCTCTCTGACACGACCACTGTGTGTTCTGACTAAAGGGGCTGCTTCCCCAGTCCTGATCCCAGGGAGAGGCCCTGTGACTCAGTCACAGCCAACTTAACAGCTAACATGCAGCATGAGTGAGAAAAAAAAGAATCTTGGCTTTGAAAGCCACTGAAATTTGGGCCTGGTTGTTATTGTACCACAACCTGGTGAAGCTGACTAATGAAACACATGAATCCATTTGAGAAAATGAGAGAGAACCAATCCCTAGAGGTCAGGGTTTCTAATGGCGTAATCTCTGCACTGGGTAGTATGATGATGGGAGGCTGAAAATGTAAGCAGGCCAGGAAGGCTGAGCTAAGGGAGAAATCTGAGTCAAACTTCATTTGACACCAGTTCTACTTTCTAGTGCTGAGACCCAAAAAGAGCTATTTTCTTTTTCATCCAGTTTGACTTGAGTTTTCTTTCTTTTGTGCTGAAAGGTTGCTTACAAAGAGATAAACAACAGAAATACCTATTTTCTTAGTCAGTGAGGAGGAAAAATTCCCCCTGCCTCATTGATTACAATGTTAACTCAGTTAAACAATGACCAAACATTTTCAGATTACAGCTAATGGATCCGATCATTACTGTAAGAAAAATAGATGGCATTTCTGACAGCCCCAGAAGCACATTCTAAAAAAAAAAGCACTAAACTACCAATTGGCCCCAAAGCCGATTTTTTTTTTCCAAGAAAAATGTTGGGAAATGTTGAAATCACTCTCTCCTTTGCTTTGTAAAAATACAGGAACTTGCAGGGACTGATAGTTTGGTTTTGGAAACTTTCCATAGAGCTATTTTTAAAAACGCACTCAATGATATTTTAACCAGAAGTTGCTAGTTAAAAGACTCCTGGATTTCACTCCTGTGAGGAACAGAAAGAAACAAAACAAAGCAATAGACAAAACTAAACCAAAACAAACCCTACCGATCTGACTACAGAACTGAGGCTACCAGAGGGGGAGCACAAGGAGGAGAAGCAAGTCAGGAGGGGCCCCCAATTGACTAGGGAGGACGATGACCCTAGTGGGTGTGGGGTGGTGGCATACATCTGAAGAGGTGTGAACCTGTTCCCCTAAATCATAAACAGTGTTGAAAACCAGCATCACCTCAATAAAAATAATTGAACAAAAAAAAATCAATACAATAGATGGACAAAAATCCTCTTGTAATATAATCAAAGCTACTTGTCCTGCTCTGGAGGGTGGAGTATCTGATACTCTTTGGTAAAAGCCATCTCTCCCGGTGGGAGGAGATTAAGCTGATTGCAGTGCATGTGCCTTTCCTGCAGGGGGCGCTGAGCTGGCTGTGAGGTGCGTGACCACTGATCACAGGGGAGCGCTCACTCCACTCACGACCCAGGGCACTGACAGCTGCTGCAGGGGCGGCCAACACTTCCCTCCAGGAGCCCTGCTGCTCAGCTCTGCTCCTGTAGCCCCCAAGCAGCATCCAAGGCCGGGGCAGAGAAATGCATGTGGCTGTGTTTGGTGTGGCTGTTCTAATAAAACTTTATTCATAATCACACATCTGAATGTCCTATCACTTGTATGTATGAAATAGTCGTTCTTCTTTTAATTGTTTTCAACCATTCAAGAATCTCCACATCCTTCTTTTATTTTCTGTGTTTTTCTTAGTTTCTTTTTTAAAATTTTTAAATTTTTTTTAAATCTCTCATTTTTTAATTTTTAAAGTTTTTTTACATCATTGTTCATTCACATCCATTTTAGTTCACAGGGTCAGACTTGGCCCATCTGGGTGGTCTGCAAGTTCCTGGACTGCCAAGCTCTTCCCTGGTTTCAGGCACAGAGGGGCTACGTTACCTGCATTATTCTTTCAGTTCTCACAGGAAACCTAAGGGGTAGGTATTATTATTATGCCCACTTAGTGAGTAAACTGAGGCCCGAAAAGTGTCAGAGTCTGGGGACAATGGGGCAAGCTTTTCTGACCCATTCTTTCCAATGAATACTCTGTAGGTGATTAAATATTGAAACTTAAGAATAGAAATGTTAATTGTCAGGCAAATGTAAAGCAATTTTTGTAATGCCCATTTACTTTCTTGGGAAAATAGTTTCCTTTCTTTCACTCTCCACCAGGTGTTGTGCTATCTTTTGGCATCAATAACTTAGCTTTATGTCATGTTCCTATTTCTGTTTTAAATTTTGCATTAGGAGGAGAAAAGTGTGAGCTGTGAGAGGCTCAGGACTCCTCAGGCGGCAGCTTTGCTTGCTGTCCCCAAAGAAGGTTTGTCTCAGAGAGCTGGGAAGCTCAAAGTTAACTGGTGCTTCCGATTGGGCCTGCAGCTTTTAAATGTAAAGGATTTTCTCTTTGCAGGTTGCTGAAATGGAGATTTTGGCTCTCTAAAAATTGATAAATTCAGGTAAAACTGATAAATTCACCAGAATTTTCTGGAATTATGAGAGACATGAGCTTGACTGAGCTATAAATTTTGACTCAAGGGAGAGGGAGAGAGCGGAAGGAAATGGAAGAAAGGAATGAGGGAGGAAGGGAAATGAGGAATGAGGGAGAGAAAGAAAAACAACAGCAACAACAACAACAAAGCAGATTTCAAAGATCTTTCTCCTAACACGCATAATGACATAGTCTTTCTAATTTTCATTCCCTACCACAACATTTCTGGAATTTTTTTGGCTCTTCAACATCTGTTCAGTTCCAACAATGAAATTAAAATGAAAACACAAGCCCCATCTATGGCAAGTAAATGAGAGACACCTAGAAAGAGCCAAACATATTTTGCTTTGGCAAAATGATAAATATCAGCTTCTATATTAAGGACCTGTGAATTCACTCATCCCGCTTATAAAATTTTCCAAAGACTGTACTTTCAAAGCAGAGTCTGAAACTCAGCAGGCCAGTTTATTCATCTCTCTGGAAGGTGTTTTGGAAAGCTACATTTCTGTGTGTCTCCCACAGAGCCACCTCTTGCAGACATGAATGCACTGTCTTGAACATTTTGACTCCAGAAGATCAAAGGCAAAAACACCCAAAAAACCAGGGAGGCTCAGGTGTAGACTCACAAAGTCCGCCCTCCAGCCCAAGACCAGTCACAGCAATACTGCAGCAGGATGCCGCGTCTGATGCAACTACCTTTGCCGGTACCGCCCACAGTTAGTAGAGAATGGGGTTGCCATGGAAATCAAGATGAAAGAGCAATCAAGGTAGAATGAAGCAGAGGCTGCAGCGTCATTGTGTCTTAAGAAAGTGTAAAGATGTCTCATGGTTCGTAGACTCTTTCAACCCCTGCAGGCTAAGAAATCACAAAAACGTGTGCTCTGGTTTTGCATTTAGTTCGCCTCTCTCCAGTTACAAATATTCATCCAATGTTATTCCCCGGTGGCCCCTAATCCCGAAAAAGGTTGAAAGAGTCTACGGCAGATGGATCACACTTGGAGCACGCAAGAACTCAGGATCCCAGAGGTGAAATGCCCAGGGGCCCAAGGTGCCAAAGATGAGAATGGAATGATTCTGTCATGAAACACGTAACTTACATTCTCCTCTGAACCTGTGGGGACTGATTCCTCTTTAACTGACTAAAAGAGAGATAAAAATAAAGAGTCAGGATGTTACCAAAAAGTGAAGGCTTAGCTGGGCTCACAGCCCTCCGGCGCGATCTTGGTCATGGCTTCTGTAAACCTCGTTCCAAAGGAACTTGACAGAGACCCAGACAAGTGAACAGCAGCACAAGATAATACAAATGATGCCTGTTAAAATGCAATAAAGAGAAAAGGAATCTCCAGGTGCAGCCAGGATCTAAATGGAGCCAGGAGAGGGGGTGGCTATGGAGAATGCAAACCCCACCAAGGGGAAGGGGCTGCGTGGACCAGGGTGGAGGATTAAGGATGCTTGGGAGGTGGGTGTGTTTGGAGACATATATCTCAAGGGGGGTGAACCTGTACCTCTAATCATGTAGTACTGTAAACCAATATTACTTCAATAAAAGTAATGCAATTAAAAAGAAAGAAAGAAAACACAACCCACAGTCTTGGGTGTGGGCCAGCAACACATCTGCCTTTGTATCTTCTGGTAACTGACAAACAGGGACATAAGGGATCAGTCACAACATACCCAGATATTGTTAGGTGAAAACAAAGGGGCTGCTTAGGAAATTTCTGGTAGCAAGTCCAGGGAAATGCCCCCCAGGCCCCTCATGGAGGCAGCAGGCACGGCTGTAATTAGTGGGGTCCTCAGCCTCACCCTGACCATGGTGTGCCAGCATCCGAAGCTGCTTCCTGCATGAGCCCGAAATTTGGGTCGATTTCATCCTATCAAAGTGAGGTTTGGTTAAAACACATCTCTGAAGAGTCAGAAAGCTGGAGGCCAACACATCCAGCTCCAAGCACTGTTGCTCCCCAAAATAAATGTAGCAGAGAGTACAGTCCTGAGCAGAAGAGTGATCCAGCTCCATCAAAACTCAGGGCAGTCATTCCATCAGCTGCCCGAGTGTCACCTGTGGAGGTGACTTTAGGACTCCCTTGACACTGGTGAACCCTCCTCCCAGGAAAATAAAATATTTTGCAAATAATTGCAGGGTGTTCATAGACCCCGTGTTCCTTGGATTCCAGGTTAAGATCTCCTCCCTGTTTTGCTCCAATTCCTGCCTTTATTTTTTACCTTTAAAAATCCAGTGGGTGCGGAAGGACTGACACCTGCAAACGCGTCTTCTGCGTTAAGGACTCAGTGTATGTCATTTCTCTTCGGTAGCCCCAAGCAGTCAGCATGGAGATCCTCATTTCCAGCAAGAAATGGAGGTGCAGAGAGGTAAGCTACCTGTTCCAGGGGATACACTGCAATGCGGTGGAAATGGCTCTGAGAGCCAAGTTTCCCTCTCCCACGACAACTTCCATGATGACATTTTTTGGGGGATTACAGGAGCCCCACTATTACAGACTTGCTTTCTCCCTAGACAAGAGCCAGGGAGACCATTTCTTTCTGTTTATCTTCCTCTTCCAGTGAAGAAGCTTACTCAGCCATAATGTGTCCCTGGAAAGGACCAGGGGCTTTCTGGAAGCTTCTGACTGAAAGGTATTCTCAAGCAATCAGAGTTCTTGGAACTCTGTACCTCTTCTCCCAGCTTTTTAGGGTGCTTTTTAATACTAGAACTTGCAAGCAACTAACCAGTATTTTATAAGTCAGACCTCTTCCAATGAGACCCACAAAAATTTCAAGAGTCAACAGATCGCCTTCATTAGGTGCAGGGCCGTCTATGTCAGAAGAGCATTTTCAGTTTTCCAAACCCTCTTTCCTGTTCCGGTGGGTTGTAATGAGACCAGTTTGCATCTTTGGTTTCCTGTGTCTGGAAAGTTCTTGGCCATTTGCTGCTCACGCAGTTCCAGAGGAAACTGGGAACTGGATGTTGGGGATGGAAGGGGCTGCTTCTGAACCTGGCGTGTCCATGGCCTTCATTACCGCTCCAGACTTCCAGATCTTTCTGATGTTTCAACACTTGGCATTGCACATCGAATCTGTTCCAAAAGAAGCTGCTAACTCATGTTTTCCAAGGTATATTACCCAGGCGAAGCCCGACTTATCTTGGGAATGAGTCTCGTTGAGCATTTTTCAAACTTTATCAGTTTGTAGACAATTTTTCTGTTTCTTCACTTTTCCACGTCCCCCCTCTATGTACTTGGTATGTTTTCAAAAATCAACCTTTTGATTTCAAAAATCAACTTTCACTTAAATACATTTTAAAAGAAAACAGCTTATTATTATGGTGAATGTGCCATCCACATCCTTGCTGTAAATAAAAGAATGTAGTGAAACAACTGTGCTTGGGCAAAACACCACCATTCACAAAGTCGTGATTATAAGTCTTTGGTAAAAAGGGAAAACAGCAAATGTTCCTGTGGTAAAAAAATTCTTTTAAGATCAAGAAGACACATTCCTCTTCATGTCACCTGAGAAACAGGAGCAGAAGGGCGAATGGGTGACTTTTCACTTCACCGAGACCAATTATAGCTTTAGGGCTGGGTCCCAGAACCATCCTCACTCCTTCCGCCATTTTGTATGACAGTCAAAGGCCTGTGAGTGGAGCTTCACACTGGGGTGGCGGACACGCCCTCTCATGCAAAGTTCCCTCGTAGAGAATGAGCAGCCAGGGCGCCAATAGTGTTGAGCCTGTGCAAGAGAAAACCCACCCAGAAGCCAGGTCTAGAGCATCTTGGCCGGTGAAGCCAAGTCACCTTCTTTCTTAGCTCTGGTGTGGCCCTGGGCAAGTTAATCACCGGTCTCTGAGCCTCCGTCCATCCTTCCAAAGATGGGCTGTTAGACTGAGGATCACAGCTTGTTTAAAGGATCCAGAAATCCAGCCTGGGAAGGCCATGCATGCTGAAGGGGGGCTGGGTCACCTCCGCCTGGTAGCCCCACAGCTCCTCCCAGTACCTGTGTAAAGACACTTACTCACGCCAGAGCTGGAGCGCTGGAACCATTTCTGTAATTACGGTTCAGCATCTACAGTGTTTTCTAGACATCAGGGTGGATGGGGTGGGCAGAAATAAGCATTTCAAGAAAGCGTCTCCAGAAAGAGAATCCCCCAGCGGGGTAAGGATTCCAGGTGAGCAGCTCCCAGCTGGGTCCGAGGAGAGCAGTGCTGCTCAGTAGGCTCCTGGTGGCGACTAGAGCACTTGGCTACCCTTGAATTGGGGTGTACTGGGGACCTCTTTGCTAGACACCCAGGGCATCTGTAACCTGCATCCCATTAACGCAGGACTGTAGCCCTCATCCTTCCAAAATGGAAATTTCAGTCGCCTCAGCCAGTCGCTTGCATTGGTGCCCCCCTGTCATCCGGGAGGCGGACCGTGGCCACCTGTGAGGCCGAGCAAACCGAAGCGTGGAGGGTTTAAGTGACCCACTCATGGTCACACAGCCAGTGACTGGCCTGGCAGAGATACGTCTCTTTGGCTTCAGAGTTCACATTTCTTTTCCACTCATTTCTCTCCTTCAAAGAGGGGAGAGAAGAGTTACTTTGAAGAGATTCCAAATGCAGTTTCTAGTTGTGTGCACACACATGTGTGCATGTATGTGTTTTCATGTGCACTGATCTTGTTCCTCCAAGTGAAGTTCAAGTGTTTTCACAGTAGCCAATGGGCCTGAGGCGTGTTTTGAGCCCAGGGTGCTGTGGATGGCAGAAGCCACACGTGGATATTTTGACCATGACCCCTGACTGTTCATACGTGACGAAATGGTAACACCATTCACTGAGTATTTAGTATGTTTCTCATAATAACGCTAAAATAAGCATGGTCCCATTTTACAGATAGGAAAATCAAGGCTCCAAGCAGTGAAGTAATTTGCCCAAGATTACACAGCCCCACCTTCCCGATCCTGCCCAGAATTCAACACTTGCCATATACAAGATTTTTGAAGACCGTCTAGCCCAATGTTCATTCAACAGATGAGGAAAAGAAGCGCAAATAGGGAAAGTCACTTTTGAAAAGGTCACAGAGCAAACGGTACCCGGATGAATTCACAACAGGGGAGCCATATTTAGTCCAGGTATGTAGAATGTAAACATTTTTTGCCAAGTACAACATAATTAAAAATTAATTTTCTCAAAGGCTATTTCTGTATTTGTTTTATAAGAAGGACAACTTCAGCAATAAAGTAACGTACAGTCAAAATAACTTAGAGTCATAAAAAAGTTATAAAAATAACATAATTTCAGAACCACAGTTTTCCAGGGGAAAGAGTTGTTTCATAACTTCAAATTCAGTTCATTTAAGATCTTATCAATTAAGAGAGAAGGCAAACTCTTAGGATTGGCTAGCAAAATGATCAGCACTTTCTACATTTGTCTTTGTGTTTCAAAATTTTTACGAGATTGATTATATAACCAAACTTCTTCCAGTTCAAAGACTGCAGAGGTCTTACTCTGTTCCATAAACAACTCTGAGAATGTAAGCTCCAGGAGGGCAGCCTCATGCTCGCTGCCCAGTGCTCAGAACACAGCATTGCACACAAGAACCCAGCGCAGAGACCATGGCCAGCAATACTACTGAATCCTACTCTTCCTGCCGAGGTGAAAAGAAGGATAAGGAAGATTTACAGAAGATTTGGTTGTGGTTTCTCTTAACCTCATGATTTTTATAGTCTACTAACAAATAGTCAAATAATGGTAAAAAAAAAAAACAAAAAGTTGAGACGGATGTAATTCTACCATTGGAAAGACAAACCTCCAACAGGTTTATCACTGGGGGTGGGAAGGGCCTGAGGTTGTAAGAGAAACCAACCTATCCTCATCAATCCCAAAGCTCAGAAAAGGTAAAATACTTGAGGCTGGTGGTTTTGGTGGCTCCCCCAAACTGGGCGGCTCCGAGAGACCAAGAAGCGTGTGCAGTCAGCGCCCACCTCCCGAGCACAGCAATAGATGACATGGGCCACTTTCAGGCCTGTCCAGTGTTCCACTGGGTTCTCGCTCCACCTCTGTGCCCTGGGTGGTGTGATATGCATTTTCCAAATGAGGAAACTGAAGCTACAGGGGTAGACACAGTCAGATCTGTCCCACTTCAAACTCTTACCCTGTAAGTAAAAGTGTTCCACAAACTTTGGTCATTTTTTCCTTTTGGCCATATCATCTGCCCCCTCTGTGGCGCCACGGACACGCGCTGCTCGGACTTCCCTGGAGGAGCACAGCCCACTGTTCCGCCTTCTGCGTCCTGGGTGATGCTCCCTGGGGGTGCTCTCCCCAGCTGCTCCCAGCAGCGAGCCACCATGGACGGGGCGGGCACCCCGAGTGGACAAGTTCTGCTCTGGAATCCCCCACTGGCCCAGCACCATCCTGGGTCTGAGGCTTTTCCCACCCGCTCCTCCTTCATTCCCTCCTTCCCTTCACAGGTGTCAGACCCTCTGCGTCTACAGGCTTCTCTCTGCGGCCCTGCCCGCTCCCCTCTTGGCTTTGTCCAGCAGATCTCTGGCACGTCAGTTCTGTCTTGGTTCTGCTGCTCGGAAGACCCCCCACCCCCATTTGCCATTATGTGCGTACAGCACTACCATTATTTATTTACATCAGGTTTTCCTTCATTGGATTACTTTTTAAACCAAATCCACATCCTCACCTTGAGCAAAATAGATGTGCAATCAATAATGTGCTGCTTCTGTATGTCCTAAAGCACTTTGCACTTATACACCTCTAGATGTACCCGTCGATCTGCCTCTACCTGCTTATTCAGATGAAAGTGTTTGAATACGGGTCACCAACGTCACCCTCCTTGTCACCAGTACCTGAATGTAACTAGCTTTGAAATTGTTCCCTACATTATACTGCAGAGAACATGTTGGCAGGCAGGGAGGACTAGAATAGAATGACAAATGACATCATCCAAAGTTTTCATTAAGTGTCACTACATTCTGGGCAGAATCTAGAAGGAAAGTTTCTGTACAACAGGAAAGAATTTCAGAAAGCCAGTCAGCTTCTGGAGAAGAGAGCGACACGAAGAGCAGAGCAGCATCTGAGCTGACGCCTGCCTTCCTCGGGTGCCAACTGGATGTTCCATGACATTATGAAGTCGGATTTTCCAGCTCTGTGAATCACACCCCACCTCCTCGCCCTGACTTCTTGCTCATCTCTTGGCCTCATTTAAAACAGACAATAGCTCGGAACATGTGGGGCAGCTGGGGTTGCTCAGCGGTGATCAAGGAATAGCTCTCAGAATTACTCAACCCCACCGACCACGTCCTCGTGGGACACCCTCATTATGGGGGACACGATCAGACAGTGTGTGAATGTCCCTGTCACTGGGGAGGTGGGGGCCTGGAGGACACCCAGGCTTTCCCAAAGGAGGGTGAGACCCAGAACTTCATAATGTCTGACTCCCCCTGGCTGGGGCCGAGACAGCACCCAGCTGAGAGCACTCAGAGGAGCCAGGCGGAAGCCACGGCAAGACTCCATTTCAGAGAGAAAGGAAACCGTGAGAGAAATACCACAACCCTCTCATAAGCGGGAATAATTCCAAGAATGAAAAATTCCACTTGTTCATTTCCTTTCCTTTCCCACGAAACCTGTTTCTGTCACGAGAGGCATTTCATCCCTCCCCGGAGTAGGTCACAAGTCTTTGGTGCAATGGCTAGTTGAGTCATTTTGCAGAAGAAGAAAATTTATACACTGCCGAGAATCTCAATGGGCCGCGAAGAAAGCATTTCTCAAGTCATCTTCATCCAAAATGCCCCTCAAATCCCCAAAAAGAGCGCTTACCTTTTTCCAAAACATTTTGGCCAGTGGCAGAGGGGTGGCGGCACCCTTTTCCTTGGCACCGTCCTTTGCTATTTCAGTGGCTGCAGGGTTCTTGGCAGCTGCTTGAGTATCCTGGGGGGCAAAGTTGACGTTGTCTGACTTGAGGTCCGCTGCAGTGGCGGGTGGCTTTTCAGCACCCTATAAAATTAAGACATTTCAAAATCATCTCAAGATTGCAAACATGAAAATGCCTTTTTTAAATAAACGTGGGCTGGGATTATATATATGCTCATTTTCTTTACATCTTTTTGTAGTTTCCAAATACTTTAATATGAATATGGATTTGTGTTAAAGTCTTGGGAAAAGCCAAGATCTTTTCCTTTGGGAACAAGTATATAGAACCATTGTTTGTCCTGCTCACGGGAGTAACTCAACAGTCCAGGTGACGGGAAGAGGCACTTTGCTGTTAGAATGTTAGTTTGCAGCCTCCCTGGTGGCACAGGGGTTAAGTCTCAGCACTATGAAGCTGTCTGCAGCTACTGTGGCAGGAGTTCGATCCCCGGACAGGGAGCTACCCACATGGCACAGCAGACCTCTCCTGTCTCCCTGCTGATCCCCTCAGCAGTGGATTTCTGTGGATCCACCTGTTCTGCTCCCTGCTCTGTCTTATCCCGCCCCACACCTCTGGCCAATCCCCCAGCTCTTGCATGCAAAAATAAATAAATCTTTTTCTTTTAAAAAAAAGAATGTTAGTTTGCTTCTGGATTGTCGATCTTCACATGCTTTCATCGTGGCTCATCAGACAAAACAGTTACACGCACCTCCACTACATGCATGTTTTGTTTATATTATAAACAGGTATGATTTTACTGACCCAAATTTGAAATAAAAGAGGGGTCAACATAAACCTAAGTTAAATAGAAATCTTTCCTCCCATGCCCCACTTTGGGGGTCACTGACCTACGTATAAAGTAAGTGTAAATTAGCTGGATTGAACCATTCCCTCCAATGCCAGGATTTTCACAGATGAAGAAACGGAGGGCATGAGCTACACAACGAGTGGCCTGGCCTGACCGCACATCTGGATTTCTGACATCTGGCAAGTGCTCCTAACATCCTTCCACAAAGCACGCTGCCCCTCCAATGGGCATCTGCAAATGACAAGAATCTGACTCCTTGATGCAAGAATCTGACTCCTTGATAACCCCGAGGCTGAGTCCCTTGATACTAACAGGAGTCGTTTATTGAGCAGATTTTAAGTTTGAATCAGGAGATCAAGGACCAAAGTAATTACTTTAGTAATACTTGATCCTAGAATGATCCTAGACAGTGCACAACATTGCTTAATGCCAGGATTTAGAGTAACCTGTGCAATTTATGGAGAGCGAGAGCAGGAATGCTGGGCTCAGAAGGTTCTGCATTGCCCTGTTTCAAGTGGTCTGAGGCAGGTGGTGCTGTTTACCTCCGAATCGTAATTAAGTTAGAGACAAGTGTCCTCTACCTAGTGGTTTCCTTCTTTTTTTTTCAGAAAACAGAAATCTCTTGCCAGATTTAGCAAGTAACTAAGAGACTACAGGATGCTCTGTTACATTTGAATTTCAGGTCAATAAAGAATAATTGTTTTGCACAAGTGTATCCCAGCTATTGTTTGGGACATACTGATATCGACTAAAACAATCACTTGCTGTTTATCTGAAACTTGGACAGAACTGGGCGCCAGCAATTTGTCTGGCAGCCTCTCCAGGAAATTCTAACGTGCTAGAGTAGGAGACTGCCCAGCACAGGCCTTACCTGCTGCCCTGGTAAGTGTCAGTCTTGTGTTCACCTTTGGGTGTGCAAGGGCGGGAGGAGTGAGCAAGGTGTGACTATTGCAGCAAGAGCTGAACACAGTGACTGTAGCAAAGCTCATGACCCCCAATGCCAGGTGCTAGTGTTTTAGCTGCCCTGCAGAGGCGGGGGTTGGGGGGCGGGTGAAGGTTAGGGGTTCTCCCAGGAAACCTGGGTGGGGAGGGCTGCATGTGTGGGCATCTAAAAAAAACATACCAGAACATGTGTGTGAGCTGTGAGCATGTTGTCACAGCCCATGTTGGGGGAGATGTGCAAAAAGTGTGATTCTGATTAAACCAAGAGAATCCAGCTGCAGCACTGGAACGTAAACAGCCTTCTCGTAACCATAACCATAAACTTATTCACGGATGAACTCCAAGTTTCTGCACTTTCTTAAATGAAGAAAATTCTTTTTATAGAAAGGAAAATTGGGACATAGAGAAATGAATCTTGGTGTTAACCCAAATCTGTAACCATTGGATTTTTTTCCAGCAAAACAAGAAAATAATAATTCAAGTTTTATCCCTGAATCTGTGTGGATGTTTCCCTTCCTGTCTTAGGTTACAGTGAAGTCGTGGATGAGTATCACCCTTCCTGTATTCATGCGAGTAGGTTCATTGATAAATCAGGCTGGTTTTAATGGTGCCATGTTTCTATCTCCTTGAACGACAGAATAATCAGAGGAAACAATTGTCCTAGGCACAGTGGTAAAAGCCAAGGAGCCCCTTCGAGCTCCTCTAAATAGGGGAATTAGGAACCTTTGGAAACTGTTCCCTTATTTTTACGTAAAAAGAGACTGAATGCAGCTCAGGGCGTAATGGGAAGGCTTGTGCTGCATTGCAGTATCAACCCTTCGCCCAAATGCAGCTCAGGGGCAGGACTTGAGGCTAATCATTTGGGGAAGCTCTAGGGATTATTGAATTTAAGAATCCACTTGTGAACAGGAACTGAGTCTGGGGATTTGAAACTTTGCAGCGCATGACATGAATGTCATAATGAAATGCAGACCTGAGGGGGAAAGTCATATACTTTTTAAACTCCCAAGCCCCTGTCACAGACGGTCCATGGGGGAATTCAGCTGATTCCTTTGTACGAGATTGAAGACTTACTTCATTAGCAGTTAGCACCTGTCTCCCACAAACAGCAGGATGGAGATTTTATTTCCTCTCCCCATTGTAATATCTATCACTCCGCCCCTCTCTCTCTTTACAGAACAAAACAAGCCTGTGCAGAATTAAAGCGTGGCTTCATAACGTACTTTGTTTATGCAAACACAGATTCAGTCGTGAGAACTTTCTACGGAGCTGTCATTTACATACACAGTTCTGGGACTTTAATTTCCAGCTGGAAGGGATTTTAATAATTTCATTCAATGTAGTGGAGAGTGGTTGATATTTCAAACAAATTTCCATGAATACCGACCCAGTTCAGGGGTGCTTTTAATTCATGGCTCCAAACATTGGTATCTTCTTGGGGTGAAATCCCCACACTGAATCTCTGTGTTCTTCCTTCCCTGGGACATGGCTAGAGCTTGCTCTGTCCCCATTCACGGTTTGTTCTGCTCTTATGTGGGTTTAGTATAAACGTAGTTAACGCTGGGCATGGGTTAAGGCAAAAAATTGTCATTTGGAGGTTAGAACAGTATTTCCCAAAGTGTAGGAAGCAAACCATTGATGTCATCAAGGATGATTTTAGCTCGGGAGGAGATTCGAGATACTAAATAACATTCCGCTAGTGAAGTAGTGAATCCTTTCCCAGCTCTCATTTAATCCATCTAAGAACTTTGGAGGGAAAATCTCCACCTGGAGCTGATCTGTCTTTAATTGCTGACCAATTGCCTTTTAAAAAAGCTATAAAGTGCAGTAGATAAGGGGATTAGCACAAATGAGGTAACCAGAATGTGATACCTTCTTTTATCAGCCATAGGAAAGGTTGGCTTCCTTTAGGAAACATGATTTTGGCTTCCCATGCATGATGGCATACAGGTTTATTTTAAAGGCAACTTTACTCAGGAAATGAACCTATTTCATTATAAAAATATCAAATAAATACTCTAGCAGACAAAAATGATGACGGCAGCAGGCATACCTCTGACCTTTGGGAAACACGGGGTTAGAAGAACAATTTCAGAACCCTGGTCCGCACTGGGAAGAAAATGGGGTGATGTTTGTATTTATGGAGACTTAAGAAAGTCACTGTCGTTTGATTCACACAACCTTCCCCTGAACGACCCGCACCACCCAAGGCTCTGTCTTCATAGAAGCCGAGCTGGGGGATCCCCAGCTGATGTGGGTGGAGACCAGGGTTCTTTTCACTGCCAGTTTAACAAGATACAGACCTTATGCCTAAAGAATTTCCTAAAGGCGAGTCCTAGCCTGGGGCTGTCCAGGTGCTTTTTCTTGGTGCCTTTAGCGTGGATCTCAGACATCTTCTGCCCGACCTGGCCATCACAGACAATTTCTGCTTTGGATGCCTTTTGGCCAATAGCAGTCACAGCTTAGAACTTTGACTTTAAACAAAATCCATTTTTTCTGTTGTTTTTCAGTGCATTAAGACCCTTACACAATTAAGCTCTGGTGTATCACCCCCCAACCTCAAGTGATCTTACAAATGTTTACTTTCGTAAACCCTCAAAGACACTTTGGTACAGTGCCTACGTAGGCAGTGCATTCCGCACACACATCGGTCTACCACAAGGCACTCTGTAAATGAGCTGGGTGAACACAACTCCATCTTCTGTCCTCAGTGAGAGGACGTTTAAGCTCTAACTACACAACAGAGGAAAAAATGTTCCAAATCAGAAAGAAGACACAGTCCTACTTGATAGTTTCAAGTATCTAAATGTTTTTACCCCATGAGAAAGAATAAAATACCTGAAAACAAATGATTAATTTTTGTATTCTGGTCTCAGTGCAAATACTGCCATTGAATGGCTTCCATCCTCAAGCTGATCTCCTTTTATTTCATGTCAGAAATTTCGGGGAGGCACTGTGGCCCACAACAATTTTTACTGACTTCTAGATGGGCAGACTTCCAGGGAAAAGAAGTTTCTAGTGTGAGTTAGTCCATGAAGCCAAAGGGCACATGCATGTGTGTGAGTGGATGAGAGTGTGTGTGGATGAGTGTGTAATGTGTGTGTGTGGGGGGGGGGTTAGGGGGCCCTCAGAACTGAAATAGGCCAACTACAATCATTCAGAATTATTGACTCAAGTTACAAACAGCAAAGGATTTTGCGGGGGTACATAGTGTGCTAAAAACCCCAGGACCAAATGTGAAGACAGACAAGTGGTGTAGATTTTTCCAAAGCATGAGTCAAAGAGCTTCAGTAGAAAACATGTAAAAAAGGCAAAGTATGAGAGGCAGTTTGTAGAAGGAGGTTTGTGTGGGGTGCGGGGATTGTCTGGGAGGAGGTCTGTGTATGTGTTTGGGGGTGTGGGAGGATTGTTTGGGACAGCCCAGCTCCACTGGTATGACCCATACTCTGAGCAGGACAGTGAAACTTTACCACCTAGCTAGGTTGAATTGGGACCTTATTCTGGGTTGGGCAAAGCCTGGGTGCCAGAGCTGCTGAAGATGGTGTAACTGGTCTCTGGGAAAGTCAGACGACACCCCCACCCCCTTTGTAGAGCCTATTGTGCTGACTCAGCAACTTCAAACAATCAAGACATAGGCCCAAAAGGGAAACAACCATTCATTGAACTTGACCTTAGCTGCCCTGGAGCAAATGAATTATTTTATAGGAAAGCATTTGTAAATGACCAAGATCTACCCTTTGTTTTTTCTCCCCAATGGAAGAAGAATATTCCAGAGGAACCAATCAATATAAAGGTAATCTTTTTCAATCTCCCTTGCGGTAATTATGGAAATCGGGATACAGACATTTGAATAGAGTTCTGGGACCTCTGGGCATTGTCATATCTGCAGTCACTGCTGGGACTGGGGAGATAGAATTTTCCTTATCCCAGTTTTATAGATGTCGAGATTTGGGTTCAGACAGGTTAGGAGCACTTGGCTATGGAATGGCAGGGTTGGGGTGTCTGCAGGTTCTCCTAAGACTAATTCTAAGATTCCCTCCTACGTTGGCCTCTCCAAATACGAACAGCAGATGTATTGGGCTGGCCAAAGCCTTGATTTGGCACTTGCAGTGATTGAAAGAAAAACACGAGACACTTATTTGTCACTAAGTTAGACTTTCCCCATGATTCCCGTGAAATCTGAACCATGTGTTTTCTAGAGATAATCAGTTCTGTCAAGTGGGAAGGGAAAACCTCTCTAGGAAGCAGTTGTTCCAAACAAAAGTTACTTTAAGAGGAACCAGCTGAGTTTCTAGGATGACAGTGAAACACTTTGGCTGTCTCGGGCATCCCAAGTCCTTCGCCCTTCCCCTCTGGCAAGGGTCCAGTAGTGACCATCTCAATTCACCAAACAATTCCCTTTCTCGTGGACATAGAATTTTTTCAAATTCCATACAAAACCCAAACCACACTTTTAAAAAAAACCAAAACTATAACAGCTAAGGTCCACTTTAAATTGAGTCTCACTTCTCTCTCATTTCCAGTGAATAATTTTTACCATCTTCTCTAAGTCTCTCTACACACAACTAAAAAGACTAAGATGATATATAATTATTAGCATTCTGTTCTTACTCTATATAAGAAATTGATTATTGTGACATGAAAGTTAGCTTCGATTGGCAAGTATATCAAGCTTCCCACTAAAATATCATTAAAATAGCATTAACATAAATGAAACATTTTAAGGACAATCTAACAGCACTATTAAAATGATAAATATATACACTAAATATATACCCTATTAAATATATACATTATTATATATTATTGTATATACATAAATATATACACTATTAAAATGATAAATATATAGGAGTATATAGATAGATGTACACACAAATAAAATTAAAAAAAATCAGCAACAAAGAAGCAGAAACAAATCCAAATCCAACTCTACATACAAACCCAACATAAACATAGTTTAAACCACCTACCGGGTCTTCCAGATCTTTTTTTGCTTCAGCTTTATTAGGCGAGACCTGAAAAGTTTGAGAAAAAACAGTTAGAAATCATAGCTCTTGTGGATGATTTTATGTCATAGGTACATGGAATTTTTAGAGTGACTCAGTTTACTATACAGGTAAAGAATGTAATGACACATCCTGAGTTCAGTAGAAATCCTCAGACTAGGTATGCAGGAGTTTAAATCAATATTTTATAATGAAATGCATCCGGGTTTATACATCCACAGAGAACCTGACCACATTCAAAACTGTCTCCCAGAAAACCACAGCCTTTCCATCATTTCTGCCTGACCCAAGCAAGCACACAGACCTTTGGTGTCTGCGTTTGTGGTTGTGCTGTTGACTTTTGCTGTTTTACCTTTTGAAGTCGGTCTTGGTTTTTGGAACCAGCCCAAACACATCTAGAGCTGTCTGAATGATGCCTTCATTCATTCAGCCCTTTATGAGGGTCTGCTTTGAGCCAGACTGTGGACTCTGCCCGGCAGAGTTAGCATGAGTCAGCCAGGCGAGACACAGCCCCTGCCTCCAATTAAAATGGCAGATTGAGATGTAACAAGATAGAAAGTGAGTTCCCTTTTATTTGCTGTTGGAGTGGCCAAGCGGGTCAACAGCTTAGGGGAGCCATTGATCAGTCATTTCATGACCTATGGCCATCAGACATGCGTGGCGGTAGGGACCCACATGACAAAGCTCGTGTCCCAATTTGGGCGCCTCTCCTTAGCGGGTTCTCAACCCCAGGCTCCCTCATGGGGAATCCCATGTAATACAATTTCCTTATGGAGCCCACCTTGTCATGTTCTCCAGTGTTCCAGCTGCAGGATGTCAGCACCACAGCACTCAATACTCATTCTTTGGAGAATTAATACAACTATTGAGCAATACAATGGAGGGCAAAGGAAGGCAACGACTTACCAGCGTTTTAAAGAAGCTCATGATGGGATTATTCTCTGTTATGTTTGTTATCTGGGGATCCTCCTTTACAGCCTCCAATTCTTCTGGGTCCCCAGGAAGAGAGTCACTCAAAGCGGCGATTTCCTGTCCTCCTCTGCCCTCGCTGTCAACTATGTCCTAGGATCAGAACAGAGTTTTCACAGTTGTACTTGTTGAATGTAACTCTCCAAGTAATGTTTTTGCTTCGCTCTCTTTCTCTCTTTCTTTATTTACCCCCTAATTCCAGCCATACTTCTTCTGCCCACGGGTGCATAGAACAATCAGGAGCTTATGAGAGTCACTCTTCCCCTACCCCCCCCTTCTAACATACTCAGCATTCGCTGTTGGTTGGAGGGACATTGTTGGTGTCAGAGGGTAACAAGCAGCAGCGCACGTTGCATTCCAGACAAAAACCCTTTCTCCCAATTGTGCAAAGAGACTATATACGATGCGCACATTTTCCATCTCTGTGGTCTCCTAGTCTAATGTCTTGTTCATGATCTCCAGAGACACCTCTCACGAGTTTTCCACAACCGCCATTGTGGATGTCCCCATAGTGAATGCTAGTATCTTAAAAAAGTATTCAAGGTGTTAAGTCTCAGCACTATGAAGCTACCGGCAGCCACTGCAGCATGAGTTTGATCCCCGGCTGACCCACAGGGCATAGCAGACCTCTCCTGCCTCGCCTGCTGCTCCCCTCAGCAGTGTATTTCAGTAGATCCACCTGTTCTTATTGCCACTCTGTCTCTGGTGAATCCTCTCACCCCCTGCACCTCTGGCCTACACCCCAGTGCTTGTATGCAGAAATAAATAAATCTTAAAAAAATAATAAGTACTCAAGTTTTTTTCAAGTAAGATGGAATCTGGGAGTATACTGGATGGGCTGGATGCATTCTGAATCAGTCCTGCTTTATCTCCACTCCCAAGAGCCGGGCCAAACCACGGTTATCCCTCTGCCCTGTCTGGAGCACTGCATTGTGAATCCCTGATTTTATGCTTCCTCTTCTGAGGCTGGCAGTTTCTGGAAACCCAGTGTAAACAGATATGGATTGACTCCCCCAACCAGAATAATGTTTTAATTCAGTTGCATGACTATGTTTTCAGCACTGCATGTACACAGTGCTGGCTCTTTTTTAAGCTAATATAATTCTGAACAAGGCCACCAATTTTCATATATCATCATTCATTATAGAATAATACACAATGGGACTCCCTGGTGGCGCAAGGGGTTAAGACGCAACCTATGAAACTGTCCGCAGTTACTGCAGCATGAGTTCCATATCCAGCCAGGGAGCTACCCACATGGCTCAGCAGACCTCTCCTGTCTCCCTGCTGCTCCCCTCAGCAGTATACTTCGGTCAATCTGCCTGTTCTGTTCCCCACTCTGGTGAGTCCTCTCACCCCCCACACCTCTGGCTTGTACCCTAGTTCTTATATGCATAATTAAATAAATCTTAAAAAAAAGAATAATACGCAATGGCAAATATGATGCATGTATAACATGCAAACTACTCAACTCATCATTTAATCCTAACAACTTTGGAGAACAGTATTACAACAAAATTTTTCAGACATGAAATGAAGCTCAGAGAGGTCAGAACACTTGTCTGAGGACACACAGGGGACATGAGAGGGACATGTCTGGGAATTCTAACCAGGATGGCCAGAATGAACATCTTCAGTGCTAGAAATCCTTAGGCCTGAACACCAGGGTAGATATAAGCCCATCTCAGTCTCTTCAGGTGACTATAACCAAACAGACTGGGTGGCTTGGACACAACGGAATTTATTCCTCAGTCCTGAAGGCTGGGAAATCCAAGATTAAGGTGTGGGCACATTTGGTATCTGGTGAGCACCCCCTCCTGGTTCACAGGCGGCCATCTTCTCACTCTAACCTCAAGTGATGGAAGGAGCCAATGATCTTTCCAGCATCTTTTCTTTATTGCATTACTTTGGAGTAATGTTGGTTTACAACACTGCCCAAGATTCAGAGGTTCAACTCCATACCACTGCAGAATGTTTCACGCCACCACATCCACATCCAGTACCCAAGCTCCCAAAGACCTCAGCTCAGTCCACTGGGCCACCTCCTGGCTCTGGGCTTTCTTCTTTAAGTGCTCTAATCACATTCCTGAGGGCAGCACCCTCGTGACCTCCTAAAGGGTCCACCTGTCAACACCATTACACTGGGGTCGGTTTCAACATATTAATTTTGGAGGGGACACAAACATCCTATCTGTGACAAGCAGTAGCACTTGATGTCACAGAGATGAAATCCAGGTTCTGGAAAGCCAAGGTCTTCATGAGGAGTGAATATACTTACACAGTGTCCCCCACTTCTCAGAAGTTTCACAGTTGGCAAGTGGAACCTTTACCTACTTTTGCCCGTCCAGCATTCCTTTCTCCGGTGATGACAGAATTCTGCTTATCCCTGGCGACTGCTGCTCTTCCACTCCATCCCTGTAAAGTTTCTGGCCCCTTTTCTTGTACTGACCCGTAGGTCACACTACTGTAATGCCAGTGACCTTCTTGCTATTTTTTGAACAGGGTCTGCGGGTCTTTGCACCTGATTCCTGCCTGCTGAGCACTCTACCTACTCCCTTCCAGTCTTTCTTCAAATGTCACAGTTTTATTGAGGTCCTTCCTTATCACCCTATTTTATTTAATTGCCATAACTCTCACCCCACCCAATGCATCCTATGGCCCCTAATGGCCTCATTTTTCATTTGCTGGCATATTTCACTTCTAACATCACAGGTTCTTAAGCAGGGATAATCTCCTCTCTCCCCCAGAACAAGTGATACTGACTGGGGACATATTTTGGTTGCCACAAATAGATGATAAAACTTGGGATTCGGCTAAACATCTGTAGGGTAAAGAAAATATCAGGCTTTTCTGCCCTTCCGCCACCAGGATAGATGATGGATCCTTGTCCTGAGTGCATGCCTGATGGCGGGCACCTGGAAGGGTAGATGGGATTCAGCTGAGCTAAGACTGTGCTTTTTAAGGGTGGAGTCACAGGGACGCCAGGAGCAGCAGTAGAAGCCGAAGCCGAAAGAGAAGCCGAGAAGCAGCAGAACGAACGCTAGAGAGCCCAGATAGAGTGAAGACTTGCTGGGGGCTGGGAGGCCTGCCAGCCTCCCAGTCCCCCAGCCAGCACCCCTGCCTGCCACGTACCCGCTGAACCCCAATAAAAAACCTGCAAAACCACTGAGGACTCTGACTCCTCCTTTACCCGGTCTGCATGGGATCAGAAAGCCTGCACTGTGGCCTGTCCTGCCTTTACAACATCCTACAACGCACAGGACAGAGAATTCCCCGCCCCAAATATCAGGAGTGCCCGGAGAAACCCTGCAGCGCATAAAAAATGTAACTGATTCATTCTGCTTTTGTTTCTCTCCCCTGACTAGAATACAAAGCAGAGAAGGGAGGAATGTTTGTTTTACCCTTGTGTTTTCCAGCACCTGGAATATCTTACCTAACAAAAGCTCCATAATTATCAGTGAATGAACGGCTGATCCTAGAGAGTCCATCATCAATTTGCACTTATTGCATCTTCAGACACCTTCCCTCCCCCTCCTTTCTGCAGGCTGTTTACAGGCATGTCAGCCTGCTCCAACTTGTCCTTGCAGTTCCACAATGGGGCTTTCCTCTTTTTATGAATTTTTTTGTTTCTTTTGCAGTGTGTAGTGCTGTCTTTAAACTTTTTTTCCTGCATCATCCACGCTGCGGTTCATTTTCCCCAGCCTATTTTTCACCTTAAACATTGCAGTTTTCACCGTTAGAAGCCTGAGTTTGAAATACATCTTCTCTGTCTCTACTTAACTTTTCAAACATATGGAAGCCATTTAGACGCGTTCCTTTCATGTGCTTTCTGCCGGTGCTGCTATCTGGGTCAGGTTCAGGCTTGTTTCTCTGAGTTGAATTTTCTGAGTTATCTCTTCCTGCTTCTTGTCCCCCTGGTAATTTTGTTCACCTCCCAGCTCTGCTTCTTACAAACCAAGGACCTGAGCAGGGCCGTAGCCTCATCCTCATGTGGGATGAGTAATAATTCCTACTGCATAATTTTGTTGTCCATTTTCATGAGAAATAATGCCTGTCAGTTGCTTAGCACACTGCCCAACATGGAGCTGACTGGGGGAAGGCTTGAGGGTAAAGCAGTGCTTGCTTTCGCCCATGGGGCCGACATTACTGAAGGATAAGGGTGGTAGAAGAATTTCAAAGAAAAGAAAATTTTGTAGAAAAGGATGAGGTGGAGACATGGCCAGGAGTGTTTGGAGGTGCTTATTCAGTTCAGCTGAGGTAGAGGGGTGTGTAAGGCACCCTAAGTATAAAGCCAAAGGAGATTAAAAAGATCTCAATGAGATATGGAAACAACACAAGTGTCTACAGATGAATGCACAGAGAAAAATGTCATGAGAGAGAAGGAAATTCTCTCCCATTATTAGATGAATAAATTCTGTGGAGCTAAGGAAGCCATGGTGACTACAGTAAACAATATTATACTGTATCCTTGGAAGTTTCTAAGACAGTAAACCTTAAATGCCCTCTCCACGAAAAAGAAATGGTAATTATGTGAGCTGACAGAGGTGAGCTGTTAGCTAACCCTACTGTGGCCCTCGTTTCACAATATGTATGTGCATCAAATCATCATGTTATGGACCTTAAACTTACACAATATGTCAATTATATATCAATAAAACTGGGAAATGCAATAGCAATTTTACAATTACATAAAAAATGAAAATTAAAATCATGTACGGTATATGCTGAAAACCACACAATGCTAGTGGAAGGAATAAGGAAGATATAAAATGGAGAGACAGACAATTGTTGATCAGTAAAAATTAAGTTGGGTAACTAGGGACGATGCAGGTTACAACACGGACTGTATGTGAATTGATTGCTAATGTTGAAGAAGGAAATTTGGCAAACGTGCAGAATATACAAATACACAGATGTACTTATTCTAGTGTCGCAATGGCAAATGTTTGCAAAAACTGTTGAACGTCATTAATTAGGGTTGTGGTAAATATGGTATAGCCATTCAATGGAATAATATGCAACTCTTACAAACGAGGAAGCTATACAGATAGTAGTGTAAAGAGGAATAGAAAGAAAGCAGTGTTCTCTGGATA